AGTTTTTTTTTTTGGATTCACGGGCAAGGGTATGGCCTGTCAAGTTCATAGAAGAGATTTCTGCGAAATCATCGTAAACTTGAAGTAAGATAGCTCATTCGAAAGCGCTTTTTCTGCTGAACAAGATGCACTAATGAGTTGTGGCAAATTTCCATTCCCCGGGCCTTTACAGGCCCATAAAGGTCCGATTTTGGGCGATTTTACCAACTTTAAAGCTTCATAACTTTTTTTCTCCGTTTTATTTAGCAGATTCTGATTCCAGATTCGGAATCCCCGTGTCCGATTCTATCAGATCCACTATGACTTGTGACGATTTCTCGTGGGCCGGTCGTGCACTTCCCTTGTCAGCCGCAGGGGTTCCGTCTGGCTGCAGAGCGCGGACACCTTGGACCTGGGAGCGCCTCGGGGAGGTCATCCCTCTCCGACGCTCCCTCCCAGTTGGTGAGCGTGGTATAGTGTATAGCGCGCTGGGCTGTGATTCTCACAGTTCGGGTTCGACTCCGCCCGGCGCAAAGTCTTTCGCGTTTTCGCGAAAACCATCGTTCTACAGGCCGTTAAAATACTGGGGATTTTGTATGACAATTTCAGGGCCGTGAAAAGTAGCTCATTTTTCTTTTTTTTCTGGGCTCGATCGCTAACTTCCGAGAACCTGCTTATCCGGAAATTTGGGAACATCTGGGATGCAGCGTGAAACCCTGGAGAAAAGAGGTTCGGCCGAATTCGAAACTCTGTGGACGCTCAAAAACTTCTTCTTGTCAGTTGTCTTCGATGTTCAATTTAAACTTTCTAAAAACTGGATGGCCTGCAGTCCACAGGTCATGGTTTTAAAATCGGGGTGCGTTTTGAATAAAAAAACTCTGTTGCCTAGGAGCAAATGTATGGTAATATTTCAAAAAGCCCGAAAGTGCATTATTCCATTTCAAACCATGGCTACAAACAGGAGCAAAACTCGGATCTGACGAATTTTTGGGGTGTAACGTGAAAACGCAATGAAATTTCTCTATATTCTGTTCGTCCTGAGAAGCCTTGTATTGGCAGATCATTATTTTCTGCAAATATCCAATTCTACGTTGCCGCCTGCCGAAGCCTGTTTTGTCATATGTATCAACGCTCCACAGTTCTGCATAGGAGTTGGTAATTTTTTCAAGATCGTAAGGTTTTTGGTGCATTAGCGGGGGGAGGGGAAATCGTGGCAACTATTCCCAATACGCTCTCTACTAGGCCTATTCGGATCAATGGACTTATCCTTGACTTTCAAATAGAGTGGCGCTTATTCAAATCAGATTTGAATAAGATTCAAATTGTTCAAATCAAGCCGATTTGATTTGAATTGGAGCCGACCAAATCAAATCAAATCGATTTGATTTGAGTTCCACCAGTTCAAATCAAATCCAGCCGATTTGAATAATTTGAATAAGACCTCATAGAAATGAACCCAGCGCAACTCGTAATTCGTGCACCGCTATTTCCCTATAATCTCTTAGCATTGTTCCAGCGTCCCAGCGTCCCTGGGCCCAGCTAACGATTCCTTATACATTTCCTATTGTTTTTACCCGTTAACTTTTCCAAAGATAAACCATAGCGCAGGCTAAATCTGACAAAAAAAACCCGTCTGGCTCAATTTTATAGATGTCATCAAAACTCCCCATGAATTATTGTAAAGGACACCTACATGTGCAGAAACGGCGCTACCAAAAGCCCTCCGAACCGCCGATTTTCAATTTGCATCCCTGATAAGCCTGTTGTTCAAATCCCAAATCAAATCGATTTGATTTGAGTTGGTCAGCCCCGAATTCAAATCAAATCGGTTTGATTTGAAGTTGATTTTTTCGCACTCAAATTTGCTAATTCAAATCAAATCAATTTGAAGCCGATTTGATTTGAAAAAGCGCCACTCTACTTTCAAATGTGTAATTTTAGTGACGACAAGTTCCAAAATGTCGAAATTTACATAAGCAACTCTCCCTCAACCCGAAATTAAAAATTTTTCGTTAAATTTCGACTCACCGAAATTGAGGCACAAAATTTCGAAATCCGGGATTTTCTATTCTGTAGTTTCAAATTCTGAAATCAAGTTAAATTAGATTGAAGAACGTTCGAAAATTGAGAAAATATTCAGAAAATCCGACATTCTGAAATGCATTCTGAAGTTCGGAATTCTGAAATGAAATTAAAGTAAATAGAAACACATTCCAAAATTCCGAAAATAATTTCGACATCATGAATTTCAACATGTAGCAAATCGGGCTCCACCTCTGCTACGTAGCCAACAGGGTGGAGATGCCGGTCAAGTGAGAGAGTGAAGAGCCACCATCCCCCTTGCATAACTCGTACATTTGTCTTCTCCATCCCTTGAAAGGGCACGTTCAGGGACTTTTTTTTTTTGGAAAAAAGCAGAGACCTTTGCGGCGGCCGGGGGTCGAACCCCGGCCCCCCGCTCTGGAGGCGCGGATGGATACCAGTCAGCCACAACTACAACCTGGCGAGGGGCGAGGGGCGCCCCACGCCGCAAACGAGGGGAATGGCCTGTCACAGCACGGGCAGGCAGTGCGCGCGGTCCCTACGTCCATAGGGTGTACACGTTGGGACGAGTACATGGCCTTTAGATCAACCGTGTCGCGTTGATGCTGTGGGCCACCCAAATTTTGTGTATTTAAACAGCTCGTTGGGGCAAGCTGAATTTTTGGCGAGCGGGTATCAGCTCGGAAACTGCCGGCAGCTTTTTTACGTGGAGGAAATGGCGGTAAGCTAATGATTAAGAAAACGAATTTTCCATAAAAATTTCTGGGTAACTGTTGCATAGCCCTTTTCAGGATCCATTGGAATGACTACCTGGCATCAACGGACGCTGAAATCTATAGTGCATTGGCGAAAAAATTAAATAAATGTTTTCCTGATTTCCTGTTTTTTTTAAATAATTTTTTGCTATACAAAACATAATTTGAAAATGTTCACTTTTTCTAGGCCTAATTTGTGGCATAGATTCAAGTAATGGACTAATTTTTAAAGCAAAAGCCTGAACTCTGACAGTATCATGCTACTAGATTTTCGTGTCGTTTTTGGAAGCGGAATTTCGTTGGCTGTGGTCAGACGCAATTTATTTCCGCCTAAAAGTCCCTTGGCGGGGGCGTGAAACCTATTTCCACTCCCTGGCCATGGCTACCAGAAAGCATCACTTTCAAAGTTTTCTTCCGTCTTGGAGGCATTTCCTCAAATCCTAATGGCTCTGAGAAACACCGTAATCCTTCTCGCCCTTGCGTTTTCAATTCAAGCTCAGTCCGATTTGTTGGCGCGGATGTTGGAACTATTATCTACGAGCATTATTCCGCCGCCCAATACTCATTATTTCATTCAAACTGCAAATGCTAGTATAAAGCCGTCCGGTAATTATTTTGCGCAATGCGCCAAACAAGGAGATGCATGTAAAGGGATAGGTGAGCCAGTTATTAAAAATCATCTAGAGTACTTTAGGCACCACCGGCCGTTTCTACGGTATCGAGGACGGAGAACCTGATTTTCTCTACATTAACAGCTCCTTGGGACTAACAAATTTTCAAGGGGATGGCAGGACGATTGGCCATTGCGGAAGCCCCTTTGTAGAGCGAATAGAAGTACCGTTTCAACCTTACCTGAAATCGAAATTTTGCAGCCTGTTTGCGAAGATAATTGGATCAAGGCGAACTTTTCCGATTCATGCTATAAAGTATGCTAAAGTTTAATTACGCTTCCTATATTTTGTAGGTTTTTATGAATGTCAGATATAATGACGCCGATCGGAAATGTAACGAGACAAATTCTACGTTAGCATCGATACACTCAAGAGAAGAAAACGAGCTGTTAGTCGGTTGGTGCTAATAGGGCTTATAACAAAAGTTGAACTTTAAAAAATGGTATTGTTGGATTTTCAAAGCAGCTTTGAATATGAATAAATTGGCTCTAATCTAAATTTGTCTTTTGGCGCCATCCCGAATGCATTTTTCCAAAACGGTATGCAGTAGAGTGGCGCTTATTCAAATCAAATCGGCTTCAAATTGATTTGATTTGAATTAGCAAATTTGAGTGCGAAAAAAACCAACTTCAAATCAAATCGATTTGATTTGAATTGGGGGCTGGCCAACTCAAATCAAATCGATTTGATTTGGAATTTGAACAACAGGCTTATCAGGGATGCAAATTGAAAATCGCCAGTTCGCAGGGCTTTTGGTAGTGCCGTTTCAGCACATTTAGGTGTCCTTTACAATAATTCATGGGGAGTTTTGATGCCATTTAGGCTACGGTTTACTTTACCCCCCCCCCCCCCCCAGCCGGAAGTTTTTGGCTATAACTTTTTTTATTTTACATTATTGTACGCTCAAATTAAAACGCTTAGTATATTTTTCGACGTTTTATCGAATGGCGTTGCGAAAATCCCGACAAAATAAGCGAAAATACCGACAACTTTGAGACCCTTCGGCTGTGCGGGGGGTAAAGTAAACTCTTACCGACATTTATATAAAATTAAGCGGGACGATTTTTTGGCAAGATTTAGCCTGCGCTTTGGTTTTTCTTTGGAAAAGTTAACGGGTAAAAACAATCGGAAATGTATAAGGAATCGTTAACTGGGACGCTGGAACAATGCTAAGAGATTATAGGGAAAGGGCGGTGCACGAATTACGAGTTGAGTTGGGTTCATTTCGCTGAGGTCTTGTTCAAATTATTCAAATCGGCAGGATTTGATTTGAACTGGTGGAACTCAAATCAAATCGATTTGATTTGATTTGGTCAGCTCCAATTCAAATCAAATTGGCTTGATTTGAACAATTTGAATCTTATTCAAATCTGATTTGAATAAGCGCCACTCTAGTATGCAGCGTTGCGGGCCCGCGGGTACTAGGAAAAGGAACCGCATAGGGAATTTATAAGAAAAAAAGCTTGCATGTACCCTTTATACAATTGTTTTGACATTGTATGGAGATTTTTTCGAAATCGTCTTGAGCCAATACGACATCGAATCGGCCACGATGGGTGGGAACGGCCTGGACGCGTTATTGGGTGCTCAAAGGGTAGGTGCTGCTAGTCATTTCTAAATTCCAAATCAGAATTTTTGTGCCGATTGAATTAAAATGTTCGCCATAGCCGAAACCCTATGGCCGACTTGTTTTATTATGTCAAAAATTGCTAGAATATTTTTATAACAATTATAAGGGTAGCTTTTTTAGTTTTTTTTTTGCGGGACCAAAGTCATCATTTTTATCTCTGCCCTTCAGGCCCTTACAGAGCTGGCCAGGGTACCAAATCGGAAATATATATTGATCTTGATCCGGAAAATAAGACGACAGTACTTTTGAGTCGCAAGGAATCGCGAAAATTAGAAATATTGAAGTTAGGAACATCGAGTAAACAGGAGCCTAGCGACAAGTATACTTCGTCGTCCCCCCGGGGGGGATCCCCCCACAAGGGGGGACCAAGGGGGGACCGCAAGGGGGGATGGTGGGGGGACCGAGGGGGGGGACGGTGGGGGGATGGGGGAGGGGTGATTCTCGACCTCGGTGATTCTCTGGTCAATTTTCATCGTTAAAACGTCTAGAATGACCAAAATTCGATGAGGATTGGAGAAATAGCTTCAGGCTTTTGAAATTCAAGCGTTTTCACATCCAAACGGGGTCAAAAGCTCATTTGGCGCACGGTCGAGTTGCGGTCGCATCGAAGGTAGCGAAAAACATCAATAGGTCTAAAATTCGGGGGGCTGGCGGGGGTAAACAAGACAGTTACCTTTTTGACCGCATGCTGAATGAATAAAAACATGCTTTTATAGGAAGTGTCTGGGAAGAACAGTTTTTTATGGGTGGACGGAACAGAGATGGACTATGAGAACTGGGCGTCTGGCGAACCGAATAATGGATACGGATATGGATACAAGGAGGGGTGCGCAGCGGTACTGTCATTTGAAAGTTTGCCACCTCGACATTTCAGATGTATTTCTACCTTCCCAACAAAACGTCGCGCAATGGGTAAAGGCAAATAAGAAGTCTTATGCATAATTTTTAACTGCAGGACACCTTACCCTGGGTCATGGAACGACCGGCAGTGTACCGCCCTTTTCCACGCTGCCATCTGTAAAAAAGATGCCATTTTCCTTCCATGATGCTTGGCTTATTTTTGGTTCAATACGCTAAACGTAAAATTCCTGTTTGAGTTAATTACGTTTCGATGTTTCCTAGATAAACTCAAAGATACACTAAAATCTCATTCAAAAAGTTCGGTCGCGGTAGTAAATTTGGTCTCTCTGCCGCAGCCAACCTAGACCCTTCTTATCGCCTCTCCCCTTCCCCTAGTGTTGGGCAATTTGCCCGGTCCGGTTTTCGGGCCGAGAGGGTCGGCCCGGTTTTCGGGCCGTGAGGGTCGGCCCGGTTTCATAGCCGAATTTCGGTCCAAAACCGGACCGGGCAAATTTCCCAACACTACCTTCCCCCTTCCCTTCTCTCACTGGCCTAGTGGCGCGAGGCGCCCCAGTCAGGGTTCGGTTTTGCTCTGTGGCGAGCGTCTACCGTAACCCTGTTTGCTATCCCGGGGACGGTTACGGGCCGGTAACCAACCCAACGAGACTTTAGTGTACCTTTAACATTTGACACAGCTTACAACGAGACCCAATTGTATAAAATTCGACACCAGGCCTATTTGTGCAAAATTTGTCGCTCATCTGAGAATCTGGCTTTAGGAACTGCTGAATGGTTATTTTTAAAAAGTTACACAGCGTTTTTTCTCGGAAAATCCCCAGAATGGCACACCTTGAATGGATAGCAAATTCCCGAAAAATTTCCGGAATTATCTGTAAACAGCCGGAAATTCGGCCTGACGGCCGAGAAATCGGCTGCACAGAAAGCAGACATACTTTTCTCGCTTATAGGATAGGAAACCAATTAGCACGATATGCTCGAAAAAAAATGTGCTTTCGGATTAGCTGTCAAATTGTTTTCTCCATAACTTGCTCAAAACGCTTTTTATAACATGGTGAACCTTCTACATCCGAAACAAAAGCCAATTTCAAAAAAGCTTAAATCGAGATGCGAACGAATTTTTTGATCCTGGATCTTTTTTCCAACATTTTATATCCAATCAAAGCGTGCAATTCTGTGTGTTTTCCGAGCTGACGGTTCGATCACATGGGCTCGCTAATAAATTTTTTTGGTTGGCCAGAGAACTCTGCGTATAACGATACCAGGAAATCTGATGTGAACTCCCTACTTCAGAAAAATTAGCGATGGAGTTTCCGGAAAGTGCCCGTTAAAACCCGACGACCATTAATCAAAACCGGAATAACACCATGGTTACAAAAAAGTCGGAATTTTTTTGATGAAACGTTGGCTAGTGCCGCACGTCGCAACGACTAGTAGAAGTTGAAAATGTTGTGCTCTCTGGTCGCTATGCATTGCAAACACTAGATGTTGTGGCTGATCCCTGGCGCCGTCCTATTCTCTACCGTAGCTATTTGCCAAGAACACTATTTTATTCGAGGGCTTGGTGTGAAAGGAACACCAAATCGGACCTGCTTTGCCCTTTGCGCCTATCGGGGGGAAGATTGTATAGGGCTAGGTAAGTGCGGTTTATTTAATACATATTTATAGATTATCCTTGTGAGTTCTATGGGCCAAGCGACTCGGAGCCCGAGTTTGTACATGTGAATACTACGTACGGTGGCGAAAAAGCGGAAGCTGAGGGGATAGATTTTGGGAACTGCGACGAGCCATTCACGATCGAGCTTAAGGTAGGAATTTTTGAAAACTTTAGATGCTAAAACTTTCAGCTTGAAATGTGTAGTTTAGATACTTCAAGTTTTAAAATTTTCTAAACCTATAATTTAGCTACCTTGCGATCCCGGTTGGACTCTCCTGGCCGCTACAAACAGCTGCTACAAGGTTCTACTGCATTAAAGGGGATCCGAACTGCCAAATCAAAGCCCTTTTGGGAGGCCTCTTTGATTTCTGGCAAATTGCCAGCGGGCGCTGCGGGACGAGAGCCCTCACCCTTTCGATTTTTGCGCGAAGTTGTTTTTGCCCGGTTTCTTTGGGAAAACACTATAATTAGCGCATTCTGAGCCCATTTTTCAATCCTCACTCAATTTTAAATAGTTTTGGTGCTTTAATCATCAAATTTGGCCCAGAAACAGCCGAGAACGTGATTTCGAGGTGACAAGAGGGAATTTCAAATTTGCGAGCTTCCCGCGCCCCTAGGTGTACAGAGGCCTCCCACGTACAGGGCTCCCATTTTCGCAATTACAAACACTCAATTTTTGGCATTTCGTAGCCCCTTTAATTAGCACAAAAAAACAATACCTAGGCTTTCGGGGCAATCACGACAGTTGATGCGAGGGCCAATTGCACGGCGATGAACGCAAACGTGGCGTCGGTACATTCGGATGAGGAGAATGCGTTTATACGAGGTGAGACAGTAAATCCCATAAATCGTTACTGCAAGATTCATTTCGAAAAATACGGAACAAACCTTCGCGCTTTCAGATCTGATGTTGAAGGAATATTACCCAAATGGCGAACTACCGGACAAAGACCTCATTGGGATGCTAGGCGCGCAAAAGGTACAATCCCATGGATCTTTTCATATATACTACAAATTTTCAATAAGCACAGTCAAGAACGTCGTAATGTCGGCCCTGTTCATAAAGGCGGACCTTTATTTTAAATTCATTTATTTATTTATTTATTTTTGTTAGGGCTTTTCAGTTGCGCGCTATTTATTACGGGTTTTAAGATTGTTTTTCGTGCCATGTAACCTTTTCCAAATTGTTCCGTCTGTGGCGCTGTTTTTCGTAAGAAACTGAAATTTCTGTACCCGAAATCCATTGCAAAGAAATTCCCTTAGAAAAAATTTTGCTTTTGGACTGTTTCCCCGTGGTTCTTTACGGCCCTATAGCAAAATATAGACCATTTTTCTGGCAGTTTACATAGTTTTTAGATGGTAGCTGATTTTGGTTTTAGCTGTTTTGCCGGAATGTTCTTTGGAGCAGTGAAATTTTGGCGAAACGACGTTTGGATAATTTACTTGCCGCGATGCCTTGTCCGTCGCTTTAAAGGGACGAAAAATTTGGAACTACCCCGTCACGCGCGGATTTCTGTAAAATCCAGATACGGTCGCAGCCCGACTGCGCTGCAGCTTGTTGTCACCTGTTGGACGTGATAACGCGTGAATTTTAACATACAGTAGCGGTCAAAATGATGTCCGGTCGGGAAAGCCTTTGTTGTACGAACGCGCTACATCCAAATTTTATGAAAATTTGTGTCTAGTTCAATTATTCTACTGGCAATCCGATGTCAATACCGATAAAATAAAATAAATTCCTATGCGCAAGTTTCCATGTTGAAAAATTTGCGAATTTCTACTTTTTCTGAGGCGTTTTCTGTTTTTAAAAATGTGTGCATCGTGTTTAGTAGGGTCGAAAACCTCTTTTCCGCTGTTTTGTTAATTTTTGCTTGTCGGGCCCGGCTATTCTGAAGACCGAAAGTTGCAGTCGCGGTTTTGATCTTCTTGGTGATCGGTTTTTGGCAAGAATTAGGCAAAGTCGACACTTTCATAGTTCCTAGACTGGGCCAGGTTTGAAAAGCCGCGAAGCGGTTTTCAACCCTGGTAACATTTTAAAACTGCACCCGGAAACGATCCGATATTTCCAGGATCTCAACAACTACAGGATATTTTACTGGGATGACGGCTCAGAGTGGGATTATGCGAATTGGTCCATTGGCGAGCCCAATAGTCCTAAAAGCGAGCCGTGTGCGGGGGTATCAACAGTACAGTAACACAAAATCCTGGATTCCAGATGTATTTGCACTCTCTCGTAACTGCAGCCGACGGGTAAGCGCATAGTAGAAATTAGCGGTTACTTGCTAAATTTATTCGTGTTTTTAACGTGATTTTAATTATTTCAGTCTACCATACGATGGCCGGTGGAATGATTGGAGCTGCGGGGGCTACTGGGATGCGGCTGTTTGTAAAAAAGCTCCGAATGACATTGCATAAAGCTATTACAAATTGAAATAAATTTGATTTTGAAGCAAATCATTTGGAATTCGAACATCACCGGTGGCGCCAAAAAACAGGTATCATACCCCAGCGGTAATGTGGTGCAAGTTACAAAATATATTGAAAATTTGCCTTGGGGCTTGACCTATGTATGGTATGGCCATGTAATCACCTACATACAGGATCTTCGACAAACGACCTATCCGATCGGTCCCAAAATTGGACGAGATGTGTTTGAGACCCTACACAACAACAATCCTGACCGATAGCCTCATGGCTACCGTCGTTAAAGAGTTATAGCGACCATAAACTTTATTTTCCATTTTTCATGGTTTCCGTGGGATTAGACGCCTAAATATTAAGAGAAAATTATTCGGTAGGTCTTCATAACCTCACAAATTTTTTCCGAGCTCAAATTAATGCGATTTATGCGATTTTTACAACACAAACTTATCCAAAATCTTACGCGCAATTAGGGATGCGCAGCCGAGACAGAGACATGGATGCAAATTGACGCAAAGTAATAAAGATACCCGAAACAACTGTTGAGAGTTGCGGAAAAAACGGTATTTTGGTTCTAACTTTAGAGCGACGGTAGCCACAGGGGCTATAAGTCGGGATTGTTGTTATTTAACGTCTCATGCACCTCCTGTCGAATTTTGGGGCCATTTGGATGGAACGCCCAAATGCCGGATGGTTCTTTTTTCGGGTGATCCTGTATTTCCAACAGATGACCCTTCACACAGTGGATTTTTCGTGCACCTGGTCTTTGAACGGTCTTTTAGAATCGGTGATCACGAATCAGTTGGCCCTAATTCTCAAATATCCAGCAAAACTATTTTTCCGATTAAAGCAGCCTTCTGAATTCGAGGGCACTGGAGGTGGCTAAAATGTATTTGAACATCAGAAACAATGCATTCGAGAGTTTGCAATACGTTCCGCTACATTCTGCTACGCAACATTTTTTTGTCGCCGAAAGATTCCGGCTATTCATCTCTTCGCAAAGCGAAAGCATTGCGAGTCTCCATTATGCGCTATGGATACCAAAGCGGGGAAATTTTCTAAGTTTTTCTTTGTCCAGAGGCGTGCTTCTCAAATGTTAAATGTTGGCATTGGCTACCGTAACCCTTGTATTTGGTACCGTAGCCATTTGCGAGGAACATTTCTTTATTCGAGGACAAGGCGTGAGAGCTACCCCCAATAGGACGTGCTTTGCGATTTGTGCTCGGAAAGGAGAAGAGTGTTTAGGGCTCGGTTTGCTAAATGTTTTAGAAAAACATTATCGGTCAGATTTTTCCTGTCGGTATTACGGACCGGGCGATGCGGAACCAGATTTTGTGCATGTAAATACTTCAATTGGTGAGGAAAAAGCAGCCGAAGCTGGTGTGGACTTTGGGATGTGTGATGAGCCATTTACGTTAACGATACAGGTACAATGTTTATGCTACGCCAGCGCTAACATTACGAAAGAGATTTAAGGATAGGTAGAAAGACACTCGCTAGCGGTTTTCTGTATTATACGATTCGGAATCGGTTTTAGGCGAGAGAGACCACCACCGAAGTCGCTACTACTGAACTAAGTACCCCGGCACCGGATTGCCCCGGCTGGTCGGTGATCGGCGGAGATTGCTATAAGGTATTAATCATACCTTACGAAAACTCGCTTACCAACAATCAGGTGATCAACTTGAGCACCTACTGGGACGTCGAATTAAATTGCGCCAGTTCGGGCGGCCTGTTGACGTCGATACAGAGTGAGGCGGAAAACGTGTTGATTGGAGGTAATATTCACACTTTTTGAGTTGCTCATACTCATTCTCGCATGATCATACCTAGTCCATCCTGACCAGGGGTTAAAAGCCGATAAAAAGCTTGATAAAATCCGAAATGAACTTGCTAGCCCCTCGTATGCAAATGAGGATATTTCCATATGTTTAAACATCGCTAAAATAAGGTCTAAATCGTCATTTTATTAAAAATCTGATAAGCTTGCAGTAATCTAACTGTAAAGTGTTTTTACTCAGGCTGGCTTTTTAGAATGGGACCAAGCCTATCTTGTGCAGAATTTTTCGCTGATTTTGAATCTGATTTCGAAATTTGCTGCCGACCTTTATTTCAAAAGTTATCCGACATTTATAATAAAAAAATTGACTAAATCTGGACTTTTTGCGTTATTTTTTAAGTTGTCATCACCTCCGACGTTAAAACTGGCTCGGTAACAGTCTTAGAGGTCAAAGCGCGATTTTATGCAAAAATCATTCGTTTTTGTGCAAGAAGCAAAAGAATTTGTGCACCGCGGGGTTGGAACCGCCGTCCTGTGCTTGGCAAGCGACCAGCTTACCAATGCACCGTGGTGCCAACTGGGAAGGGGGCTTCGGGAGGATAGATAAGGGGCACAACATTACCTAGGCCCAGGCAGGGAATAGTGGGCCAGCATCCGAATTTATGCCGTTTTTAAGCTTAATTTAGACCAAAAATTACTTTTCAACGCGAAGTCCGCAGCAAATTTGGGAAACGGATTCGGAATCAGCAGAAAATTCTGAACAAGATAGGCTTGGTCCCATACTAAAACGCCAGCCTGAGTAAAAACACTTTACAGTAAGCCCTCGACTACCCCTAAATACCTTTCGACTGGGCCCTAAACCTCTACCCCTCCCGATATTTTGGTAACCCGGTTTTTTCGAGCCAGTTATGCAAAGTGTCCACCGCCACACACAGACACTATTTTTTTATACTGAGTAGGATTCAGGGAAACAAGGAGACGTTTTTATGCCTCGATTTTAGGGATGGAGTTTCGCGACGTGACCTAGCCCATTCGAAAGCGCTTGAAAAACTGAGAGCGCTGTTGGTTTCCTCTTTTTTTGCGGAACGATAGCGGTTGCTTTTACAAATTTCGAATGAGCTAGGCCCGTCAGGAACATTGATTTGTATCCCAAAGCATTCCTTTGTAGAATGGCTAATCCTAAAAGGATTGACGAGTACTATGTGGATTGGCGGGCTAATGGTAACACGATTTTCGTTCGGTAGACACCAAATTTTAGATGTCCTTAAATCGCGATGAGTTCGACGTACACTGGTTGGACGAAAAAGCGCTGGAATACCGGAATTGGGACACCGACCCCAAGGAACAAAGGAATTACTGTACCGCGCGACCGGTGGGCTTTCTGAACTCTAAAGTATGCCAACAATATCCAGGCAGACGGCAAATTTATTCAAGCCCAATGCGATGAGAGCTATTTCGGCGTTTGCAAGCGGAAATTGGTACTAGTTGCAGATCTGCCAGCTTCAAACTTTAAAAAAACATAGGAAACTTTGCCGGTGGCTCCTCAATGTGAAGAAGGATGGATACCGTGGGGCTTTACGCAAAAGTGCTACAAAGTGGGTTCCATATTTTCGGAAACGTACTCATTATAATCTTTTAAGGTTCTGGGTGGAGCACAAAATTGGGAAGATTCAATGGCAGCATGCCGAGAAGAAGATTCGATAATCGCCACACTAGAGTCGTCCCATGAAAAGGAGTACCTGATTAGTAGGGTTTTCTCGATGGGACCTGATATCCTTTTCTAGAATTGGCAAATAAAGATGAGACGTACCTTGGGCTTTGGCTTGGCGGGCGGGCGGTAAGTAGCTTTTACTACGATACCTGATCGGAAGTAGAACCGACAAAATTGTATACCCGTAATTCAGGTAATAACCGGCGGAAAATACGCCTGGCATAACGACGAACCATTTACGCAAGGATTCTGGCAAAAACTCGCGGAGCGCCCCTACGGCGAATGTCTTGCTGTGAGATAGATATCAAGAAAAAAGAAAACATTCTTTAGCTCTGTGCTCTTGGCTATTCACCGGAATGTGGAAACGGTGCGCATCGAATGTCAGGGGTGGATTGTCGTGCAGAAAACTATGCGACGGTTTGTAAGAAGGTAGGACCGAATCATCGTTTTTTTTTCTCTCGATCGGTTCCCATTGAAAAACGGATAACATCGATAGAAAACGGCGGCTCGAGAAACCCGGAGATATGGACATATAGACATTGATCGAGCGGAAAAATAGGACAAATATATTTATTACAAACTCCATTTGTCTAAAACGGCGGTGAGCACCTGGAAAGAGTCGATGAAAGAGAAAAGACGCACAAAGAGGGGCATTTCACGGGTACGGGGTCGGGAGCACAGAGACGGGTGTGCATAGGGTTGCTTCGGAGCGGGCTAGCATAAGCGAGTTTTCGATCAATTTCCTTTCTCACGAAAAATTCAGAATCCCGTTGGTGATGTCAGCATCTGGGGCCTGCCCACCTCGCAGGGCGATATGACCGAGGAAAATGAGTGTGAAGATGGTTGGATCTCAGCGCCTCAATTTTCGCGTTGTTACAAGGTGGTTTGAGATTTGAAATGATCTATTTAAAATTCTTCAAATGCCTATTCAAAAAGACCTAAGAAGATTCAAAAGATGCCAGTTCCTGCAACAATAATTCGAACTGTGACTTTACGGGCCTTTTAGATTCTGGACAAAATGACATTTTACGCGGCCATGCTGGCATGTAGGGACGAGAACAGCTATTTGATTTCGCTCTCTGCCGACGGCGATGAACAGGAGTATTTTCTCAAAGGTTGGGTTTTCCCGTTCAGATTTAAGGGGGAATCAGATTACTTCCCGGAGCCTGGGGTCGTTAGCATGTGGATTGGCGGGTTATCGGTATGTAATTCCTCATTAGATAACAAACGACAATTTAAAGTACGCTAGCAACGACCGAACACGCACGCGCTATCATTGGGTGGATGGACACGAGGGCGACAACGGTGCGCCTTTCAATAAAGGCTACTACTGTCTTTCCCTTTCGGTGGGTGCCAAGGCGTTTATCCAGTTTTGTTTTTGCTTTGGCGAAGAGTCAAAAAGATAAGGACCGCACTTGTGGAACCCGCCTTGGGAGGGGGCTTAAATTTTTTGGCAAGAAGCCGGCAGGGCAGAGAGCGCGCCCAGGGAGAGGCGCAGAGACATTTTCACTCCCCGCGTAATGGATTGACTTATGCCGCCCTTATCCCTTTAAAGATATAAAAATTTGCATCATAGCCAACCGGCAGCACTATATATGAAGCGCAATGCGACGACATCAACTACCCAATCTGCAAGCGAGAAATGATTACGGGAAGTCGGAAGGAAAACAAGCCACCCCCCGCCTTGGTGATGCCAGTATGTGAAGATGGCTGGACCCCATCGGAATATACCCAGATGTGCTATCGGGTATGTCACGGTATTTTAGATTTTTTTTATTTTCTATTTCGGCTGATGTTAGCAAAAGCTCGCCAAAGTTCCGGGGTGCTTTGGCAATTTTCCAATGACGACCAGATTCCGGTGTGGGCCACAAGGGGGCCAGATGGTCCATGGCCAAGGCCAAATGTCTTTTTATAGTTTTTATAGTTTTAAAAAGTTTTAAGGCATTCGGAAATCAGGAAAGTATATTTAAACAACTTAAAATAACATTTGAAGAATTTCGGGGAACTTTAACGCAAGAACTGGTAAAACTGGTCTCTAATTTCTTTGGAATTAAGCAAAAAAAGTATTTTTGTAAAAAATTGCACAATTTCGGAAATTTTAAAATTGTTTTTTTTCAGCAATTTGTCATAATTCATAATTAAAAGGCTTTTTGAATTTCTCAAGACGCTCTAAATTTAGTATTAAAAAAAATGAATAAATTATCTAGAAAAATTCAAAAAGGCATTTTTGAATCGGTGTTTCACATTTTTAGTGGGTTCGCGCCGGTTTTTCGCCGTCAATCGATTAGTCGTGGTTCGTGGTTCCAGAAAAAAAGGCGCTTTTGCATTATCGGGCACGGGCAATTTTTTTACTATAATTTTGTTCTTTCTAAATTTTTGAGATAGTTTAAAAAATATTGTCCCCGATAAGTGCAAACATTGGAATTACGGGAAAACCGGGATTTCCATAAAAAATGGCTTGATTTCGGAAAACATAAAAACTTTAATATTTATCATCCTTTTGATAATTTCCATTTTCAATTTTCCTGAACTTCTGATCCCGGTTTAGATTGAGACCAGCAGATAGAACGAAGAAACTAGCTTCAAAAACGTTAAAAATTTTTTCTTTAGATGTTTCACAATTCTAGTGGTCTGGCGCCGCTTTTTCTGCTTTAATGCTTTCCAGTTTGGTTTGCAAAAATAAAAAGAAGCCATATTTGAAAAGCCGTAAAACAAAAGGCAAAAGTTTCCGACTTCCTGTGGCCTGGTAGGCCCTTTCAACTTTGGCCAAAATGGGGCCCTAGCAGACTGGCCAGAGAATAGAGACCAGTGAACTTCCGGTTGTTTCCCCCCCCCCCACTTTCCCGTATTTAGTACATTTTCGTCGTCTTTGCAGCTCTGCAAATGGTCGTAAAATTGTGTAAAATCATTGGAAATTTATTTTAAAGGGACTGGAAAGTCAAAAAAATTACTGCGCATAAAGAAAAGAATGGCGATAGAGTTTCATACCTATTTAAATGGAGAAGTTTGGTATAGTGCATTAAAAAACATCTTTAAATGTAAGAAAATCGGGCTTAGAAAGGCTTATAACTTCACGAATTTCATGCCATAACTGATTGCCCATCCTATAGAAAATTAAAAACACCGCCATTTTGGGCGAAATTTGATGTTTCAAAAAATAATGGAGTTATAATCGAAAATTCGCGGTGATTTCAACGAAGCAGGTTCTTCCACATTATCGGCGGGTGGGGTGGGGGGTGGATTATTTTTCCTAGGCCCAGAAAGGCCTAATAATGTAGTGGCAAAAATTTTAATAATCTTTTTAGTAAAATTAGGCTATGTTTGAAATGGAAAATCCTTTCAGAAACTAAAAAAAACGTTAGTCGAGAATCGAAAGCCGGCCATTTTGGTCGAAACAGTGATATTTTGCATTTTTTAATGCAAAGTTGCAATGTTTTCCGTTTAAAATAGTCAAAACAGTTTAACAACGCTCCTCTATTTATACTAGGAAAATTCTCCTTGGGAAAACTCGGCAAATTTCAGGCCGTGTCTGATCGTCTAAAAAAAGAACCGTCAATTATCAGCAAAATTTGATGTTTCAAAAATTTCTTCTAAGCAAAAATTTTTGAGTGCAATAATTATATCAGGTTTAACCGTTCAGATAAATATAAATAAAATAGATAACAATTTAAATAAATAAAAACAAGATAGCTAAATAAAATAAAATAAATACATTGCATGGAATACGGGTGGTTTGAGATAGATGGGTGAGAAATGAGGGTCGGTGGCCAGAGGAGGGAATCGAGGAAAAAGAAGAGAGAAATGGGGCCCACAAGCCGGAACAGCCGTGTTTCTCATTTCTAAATGAAGGCGAGGGCGAGAGAGAAAGAGAGAGAGAGAGAGAGAGAGAGAGAGACGCCAGAGAAACGGAGAACTAAAGCAACATGGCAACTAAAAGCGCTGCCTGCTGCAACGGGGCAGAATGCCATGGGGGCCCGTTTTTTAGCATGACGATTTGGGTCCCATGACGAAAGAAACGTTCGGCGGAGTGTTTCGGAATCGATGACACATCTTAAAGGGTCCCTGCTAGCTTTCCAGAATGTGGTTTTTTTATCTAAAAGCGCGAATCTAAAAGTTGGAATTCCTCAAAAGTCTCGGCTAGATTTCTAGAATTTTCAAGAATTCTAGAAAGCTAGCTAATTTCTGTAATAACTCCAAAAATCTCTGCAAGCAGGCACACGCTTTGGAAACGGCGCATTTCCGTAATAATCTCTGCTGGCTTGCTTCCGCCGAGCTTGAATTCCTTAAAAATCTCTGCTAGCTTTCCCAATACCCAGAAAGTTCTCTTCCAACTGGATACTCCTAACGGATTCCCCAATGATTTCTGCTAGGTTGCTTCAGCTTGCTTTCCTAAGTAGTCGAAAGTCCTTCGTTTCGAGTCAAAACGCGCTAAAAGTGTAGATTCTCCAAGAGTTCCTGCTAGCTTGCCGGCTATTTAAAATGAGTTTCAGCATTTCATCATCACTGAACACAATATATTGCCATAATCCATTGGTAGCAGTCTTGCTAAAAAAATTGAAATCGTGATTTTCAGAATTGTTTTTTATTTTTTTCAGGGGATAGTTGAAAAATGAACTTTGAAATGGAAATAGATGAAATTTCAGATTAAAAACTTACAATTGCAATTTAACACGACAATTCTTTTCGCAATACTTTCAAAAAAATTAGGATCTTAGAAATCAATCCGATTACGACACGAAATTCGCAAAACGTAGCGGACTATACCTTTAAAGCTACACTATAGATATAGGTATCGAAGTGGAATCGTTAATTTTAGGGTTGACGGGTGGATTTGATGGGGTACCCATCAAATATGCTTGGGTTTCGAGGGGGTGGGCATAGATGGGTGCTAGTTATATGTTTCCGGGATTCATGGGGGGTCACTCTCGCTCTCTCTTTCTCTCTCTCTCGCTCTCTCTCGCTCTCTTCCCCCTATATGTTGACAGCAATTCCCTCGGGATCTCTCCTCACTCCATCCCTCCCTCTAGTCGTGAAGGAATTCATTATGCGAACATGCCTCCACTAGTCGAGCAGCTTACTTCGAGAGTAGCGATAGATACGAGGTTATATGGATTATAACGGAAATAGAGCGTGGAAAAGAAGGACAGCAATCAGCAGCAATTCTCAAAAAATTAGCCCAGAAATTAGTTTCTGGCAAAAGTTGTTTTGTGCATTTTTTACAAGAATGTTTTGAATTTTCTACCCCTTATCGCCGTTCCCTACTGATAATTGACTTGCAGCAACTCATATCCAAAATTTCCAATTTCCAGGAGCGAGAGAGAGAGAGAGAGAGAGAGTGTGTGTTTGAGAACGACCGACATAAATAAACCTAGGCACCCATTACAACTATAATAACGGCAGCTTCCCGAGAAAATGAATGTCTCAAAACTAGATGAGTAGCGCCAGTAGATCTTAATGCCATTGGAAGCCCGAATCCGACTATATACAGGGTGTCCCAAAAAAACGAACCATCTGGCATTTCGTCGTGTTACATCCAATCGGCCCAAAATTTGGACCAGAGGTGTATCCGACCCTAAATAACAACAATCCTGACTTATAGCCAGGCCCGTACGGGAGCCGAGATTTCGGGGGGGGCACCCAAAATTTTGGCGACTCCCCGTCGCCACTTTCAAAACATTCGAAAATAGCGACAATAACAGCGCCGCAGGCGAAAAAATTTAGAAAACCGCGTTGGTAACGCTTAAATTCGTGTGAAAACACATCGGAAACGGCGCGCGCAAGCGAAATTTTGTTCAGCAAAAATGGTGCACTAATCACAACGAGCGCCGCAGGCAAAAAATTTTAGGAAAATAGGTTTTCTAGAAGTAAAAATGGTTTCGAAACAGTGACAAACAGCGCCGCAGGCAGAAAATTTTTGAGGAAAAATCCTAAGGGTTCCCCCCCGCTGGCCCCATAGATTTTGCCTCTGAAAGGTTTCGCTATTTTCGCCATTTTGATCAGGATTTTTTTAAACGCCATTCGATAGAGCGTCAAAAAATATACGGAGATTTTTAATTTAAGTCTACAATAATTTAAAATAAGCCTCGCAGGCAAAATGTTTACAAATAAAATTGATACATTCCCGAAAAACTAGCGCTGCAAGCGAAAATTTTTGGAAAAATAGGTTTTATTGCAGTTTAAATTGTTCTAAAAACAATAATAAAAAGCGCCGCAGGCAGAAAAATTTTTATGAAAAACATCATAAGGGTCCCCCCTTATGAACTTTTCGGACCTCGCCCGATTTCGGGGGGCACCGTGCCCCCGGTGCCCCCTCGTACGGGCCTGCTTATAGCCCTGTAGGCCTAGTAGTTCTCGAGTTATAGCAGAAACCCGCTTTATTTTCCATTTTCGTAGGCTTTTCGTTGGAATCGACCATTCGAATATTAAGTGAAAAGGAAGCGGCATGTCTTCTTTACCCCCTAGAAATTTTTTCCTGATAAAAATTCATTAAATAACCGTTGATTTCAACAATTTTTGTAATCCAAAGTCACCCCCGATATTAAGCGAAATTAGGGATTCATAGCCGGAACTTGATGCAAATCGATGCAAAGTCCAAAAAGATAGCCGAACAAACTGTTGATAATTTCGGGAAAAACAGTGTTTT